ATCAAGCTTCTAGACGAGAAATTGACTGGCTTGCCATCCTGGAGTAGACATGCACCCAGGCCCTTTTGGCTGGCATCACACTCGATAATGATTTCTTTCTCTGGGTCAAAATACTGCAACGTCATGTTGTCTTTGAGCTCGGCCTTCAGTGCTTCGAATATCTTGGTGTGTGTCTCTTCCCACACGAATTCTGCATTCTTCTTTACCAGAGCGCGAAGGTCCTGTGTCTTGGCAGCCAGATTGGGTACAAACTTTCCCAGGTAGTTGAACATTCCCAGCAGTGACTGTAGCTCCTGCTTGTTCCTTGGCACTGCCAACCGCTTTATCCCTTGGATCTTCTTTGCATCTGGTTTTAATCCTTCCTTTGTTAGGGTGTGGCCGAAGTAATTGATCTGGTTCAATAGGATCTTTGCTTTCTTTGGGTTGAGCCTGAAGCCTGAGTCTCGACATCGTTGGATGACTTTGTTTACTGCCATATCGTGTTCCTCCCTTGTCCTTGCAGCAATTAGTATATCATCTGCAATGCAGTAGACATTGGGGATGTCACCAAATGTTTCGTCAACGGCACGTTGGAATACGTCTTGGCTACTCACAAGTCCAAATGGAAGCCTTTTGTATGCATACCGTCCAAATGGTGTGTTGAAGGTGAGTAGGTGTACGCTGTCTGGATGAACTTCAATATTCCAATAGCCAGATGATTGGTCAAGGGTGGAGAAATACTTGCACCCATGTAATTTTTGTAGGATGTCTTCCATTGTTGGTGCAAAGTGGTGTGGCCTCCTCACTGCTTTGTTGAGTGGCTTTGGATTCAGGCATATTCGTATGTCTCCGTTGGGTTTGGGTGTACATAGTACATTGCTTACCCACGGTGTTGCTTCTTGTTGCTTCTTGATGACATCAATGTCCACCATCCAGTCTAAGTTCTTTTTCAGAGACTCCTGCATTGGTGGAGGTACACTGTATCTGGGACTGACCACCGGAGGGACTTTGTCATCTATCTCGATCTGGTATTGGTAGCCTTTTAGCTTTCCAATGCCTTCGAACACCTCATTGGCATCCTTGATTACTTGGGCTGTATTCCTGATTTCAATGGGTTTCTTCACCTTGAGAGAGTACTTGGGTGTGTTTGCAGCACTTTCTTCTTTTTCTTCCTCAGTACTATCTCTGACCTCACTCACGTCATAAGGACCATGACAGTCTTTGCAGTCTTTCTCCTCCTCACACATAATCTTTATGATTTTCATCGCACGGGTGAATTTTAGTGAGAACAAGTTGCTGCCGTAGTCGGATACGAAGAATTCGACACGTCGGCCAATGACATTATTGTGGCGAACACAATCAATACGGAATTTTCCGTGATTCTTGAAACGCTTTCCTCCATAGCCTGTTAGTTTCACTTGACTGTTGTGCAGGATTTTCTCTGCGTCATCACCAAAGATTTCTCGGAATGTCATATAATTCATCAAGTTTACCTGAGCTCCAGTGTCAACCTTGCCCTTAAGCTTCTTTGTACTCCCATTCGGCAATTCAAGTTCAACAGTGGCATAGAATACCTCAGGTGATTGGTCCTCGTCTAAATAGACTTTGGTGACATGCTTGGGCAGTTTCTTGGCGAAATGAGTCTTTTCAGACTTGGTTTCTTCAGCCTTTGCTTCCACGGAGTCAACTTGCACTGTGACCTCATCGGTGTCATACTCTGTGAAGTCTGCTTCGCTACTTTCCGAGTCTGCAGTTGCTTCGTGAAACTTCTTCTTGGGTCCGGATTTTTGTTGCTCTTTGCTAGGTCCCTTGCTGTGAGAACCAGCATTTGTCTTGCTACGGCACTGCTCAGCAAAGTGGCCTTTCCTTTTGCATTTGCTGCATTCTTTCCCATAGGCAGGGCATTTTCTGCGACCATGTTTGCGTCCACATCTTGTGCAGTTGTACTGGCTCTTGGTACGTCCAT